ACACCATCAGGATCTAATCTGATTTTCAACTGCCATTATTAGATGACAGCTGTACACGGGTAATTTACAATTTTTTTTATATTATCGAAATTTTATGACAGGATGAAAAGATGAACTGATTTTTCATTTGTTCAATGTAAATTGACTACATTACAATTGCCTCTCATATCTTATGTAAACTCGGATATATAGGAATTAAAATAATAACTTTAGAAATGATATGATTCAAATAGTTCCATTTATGGACACTTCATGAAACGATCAGAATTTAAAGATTTCAGTATTTTAACAAAACTGTCTCCAAGAGCAGATATCTAAATTTACGCTTATATCAAATCAATCTTTAATATTTCGTAGATTTTTCCAAAGAATTTATGAGAATACACCTTCAGGATGTAATCTGATTTTCAACTGCCATTATTAATAGATGACAGCTGTACACGCGTAATTAACAATTTTTTTATTATCAAAATTTTATGACAGGTTGAAAAGATGAACTGATTTTTCATTTGTTCCATGTAAATTGATTGTATTGCATGCACTTAATGAAACGTTGTTTTTAATGTTTAGTACGGGTAAAATATTGACATAAAATGTATACATCTGGAAAACATGTATTTGTTTTTTGTATACTGCTAGACATCTAATGGGACTATGTACATTGCAGCCTTCTATTTTGTAAAATCTACAATGCAGTCAAGCGAATTGTATTTTTCTTAAATTTATAATTAGGTATTTGCATTATTTCTTGAAAAGGACGACATATAAATATTATAAAACTAGCGAGTTGCCATACAGTTGAAAAACAAGTTACCGTACTGTAAATCTGTAAACAAGAGCAAGTTGTCGTACTCTTGGTTTGATTGGTTTTTACCTATATTCTTGAGAAAACATCTTTTTGATAGCGAATTTCAGTAAATATGAAGTCACACTATCATAATCTAAAACTTTGTCTGGAAAAAGAATGAAAAACAGTTGAATGTCTGGCCAGCGGGACGTCGGAATGTGATCGCCTCGAAAATTTCTGTATCAAGTGTACATTTTTGGAGTACAGCACACAATCTGGTCTTTGTTTACTACTTGTTGGCATAAAAAAATAAGGCATTATATATCAGAAGATCGTTTCGTGATCGGTCACCTCATAAAAACAGTAGAAATGGTTTAAATAAAAGGAATTCTTATCTTGCTTATTTTCTTCTCCTTTCTCTCTGCCTCGTTGGTACCCATTTTGTGGTGGCGATGATACACAGAGATGACGGGGGGAAATATAAATAAATAAAATCCGAAATTCAGGGAACATGCTACAGACTTACCTGTTGTGTCTATCTAATGAGTAAATCTACGTAAAAAAACGTAGGCACCTCTTATTTCTAGACAATAAGTAAATCTACGTAAAAAACGTAGGTAACCTCTTATTTCTAGATAATAAGTAAATCTACGTAAAAACATAGGCAGAGTTCGTTTTTGAAAGGCATTATAAAGGATGTATATGCAAATGTTTTAATTATTTATGTCGTTACTAAAACATGTGCTACAATGACAACACCTGCTACTGAAAAACAACAAAATGTTACTAAAGGAATGTTGAAAAATGCAGAGTTGCAATTACGGATATCATTTCTTAACATGTGAATAATTGATTTTTTCGTCTAAACATCAAACATTTTCCCTGTTTCTGCATTTTAAAAGCATTTTTTTTTCTTCGGATAAATCGGAAAAGGTAAAGGGGCAATAGACTTTTTTCATATTACCAACTTTGACTCCCGAATAAATAATTTTTCTACAGGTTACCTATCTACATTGTGGTAGGATATTTTGGTACTCAGTTATTCGTCAAAATATCCTTATCGTGATTCGTCGGAGGTCTCAAATAATTAATCGTTACCATTATTATTGAGAAGAATTTAACGTGCATGGTTCATGACAATCTGTCGATTTTTTTAAAAACGAAACCCGCATTTTTGTTCGAGTTCGTGCGAAGACATACCAATACTACCACAAAAGTTTATAAACTGGAATCCGCTTGTATAGTCAATTGAAATTACATTCCTAAATAACTACTCTAACCGATGTCAGATTTTGCTTGAACTGTTTCCAAGCTAATAATGTTGTAATTAAACGTTCCAGACAGATAAGCACGGATAAACTGCAAACAGATATGTCCTCTTGCATTATATTTATATATTAAACGAGATTCATTCTGACTTCTGAAATATAAAATGATTCTGAGGGTGACGAACTCCGATCTAATTTTAGATCATATTAGATAAAATTGGCCAATTCCTAAAATGATATTTCATAAAATGAAAGTCCAGACGTTCTGATTGGTCAAACCGTCGTTGACGAGGACAAAGGTTACATTTCTGAACTGGGTCCTATTCCAGACTATGTCATACGTCAGCGCAAGCTTATGTTTGAATATATAAATGTTTTGCTTTGCTGGGATAACGAGTTGGACGATAACTTTATACAAATCTTGTTTAGAAAAGGCAGTTGATTGTCTAGAAAAACAATATGACACACAAAAATAACCGTTCCATATAATAATTTCTCGTTATGGTTTTGACAAAAACTGCAAGTTTTAAGACAGTTTTGTTGCCGTATGGATTCCTCCTGACTGACAATTAATTAAAAAAAATATTGTCCACGGACTGGAATGATAAACCATAAGGCGGATGTACTGTTGTTTGAGTACTTATACCAAGACACGCAAAACGTAACACAGAAATCTAGATAAGGAAAAACACTAAAACAGTGGATGATTGTGTTTCTCCAAAAGGGTAAGCAGTTTCAGTTCTACTAATGACACCCGTAGTGATGTTAAGTACCATTAAAATCTTGTAAATAAAGATAGAAGGACGGGACTGTAGCGTCAACAACTTGTTGTTGCCAACATATACATGTATTATGTAAGGTCCAGGAAGTCCTGTTGGCGTCCTTATAACCATCGAAGTGATAACATTTATAGTTCGCTTATGTCCATGGTGAGGTAGGATCCCTTATTTTAAGAATCTTCATAGCAAACACACGCTCTTTTGCATAGTACTGGAGACTGCAAACAATGAACAATTTAGAGACTTGTTAACCAAAACCCAGAAATATCAAATTCCTAGACAATCAAAAGGAAGAACTTAAGATAACTGATGGATGCAATTCAGGATTATGCCAGTATTCGTTTTGGTGTTGTGTTTGACGTTGCCATAAAAGCGGGAGGTTTGGCATGCCACAAAACCAGGTTCAATCTACCATTTTTTTCTTAAAATGTCCTGTACCAAGTCAGGAAAATGGCCATTGTTATATTATAGTTCATTTCTGTGTGTGTTACATTTTAATGTTGTGTTTTTGTTGTGTCGTTGTTCTCCTCTTATATTTGATGCGTTTCTCTCAGTTTTAGTTTGTAACCCGGATTTGTTTTTATCTCTATCGATTTATGAGTTTCGAACAGCGGTATACTACTGTTGCCTTTATTTGGCTAAAGCGAGAGCCAGATGAAACCAAATTGGACACTTTATCCGAATGAATCAAAGCTATTGGTCCATGCATTCTGAAGCGCATTCAAAATCGTTCATCGAGCACACGGACTTTTAACCCTTTTAAAAAGTCCAAGGTTGTGAATGCTTTATCCTCTCTTCACGACAATATTGTTTTGGAACGTCTAACTTAAGTACTCGGAAAGCACTGCGAAACTGGGAATCCCCTTCATCATTGACGAAAGAGAAAAATCAAAAATCCGTCCTTTTCTCTTATTATTAATGAAAATCTGCCGTTTATATTCTGGATACATAAACTTAATTATAAAGAACGCAATAGAACCAAATCGTCAAGATGTCCCGACTAAAAATTTCTAAAATTCTTACTTTCATTCTTTCTATAGAATAGAACGAATTTCAGAAATACCATGACGAGTTATATTTAAACGACAGTGTCTTTCTTATATAAATTCTTAAAAATTCTAAAGATCTATTGGAAAATCTTCAATCACATTCTTTACAATTTAGCAGTAATATAAAACTTTAGATTTTTCTACGCTTTACACTACTATTGCCTATGCTCTATTTAAAGATCGAATACATCGTTTCACTAACATAACTTTTCTACAAAAATGGGAATCGTAGAATTGTTTTATCGTCATGAAAAATCGTACTTTGTAAAGAACAACAATGATCTCAAAAACAAGTACACTGAAGACAGATTTACGTTTAGAACGACAACATATTTGTTCAGTTTGGTGGATAGATATTTCAAGACACCAACGGGCAATAATTGTGCACCCCTACTGGCCGATTTGTTTTTTTTTTACACATATGAAGCAGATAATACAAAACTTTGTCAAAGACAAAAACATCTTGCAAAGATTTTCAATGTTTCTTTCAAATAAGTTTATGATGTCTTGTCACTCAATAACCCACATTTTAGTGAGTGCTGTCATTACATACATACCAGTCGACTTGATATTAAAACACTATCGAAACTAGAAGGTCTGCTTCATATCTTGACTTTTCCTCGATATTGACACATAGGGACGACTTCAAACTAGAATCTATTGCAAGCGTACTGATTTCAACTTTTCATTTGTTAACTTTCCATTTCTCGACAGTAACATACACTCTGATTAAACTATGTGTTTTTGCAGTTTTAGATCTTTCGATACCAGAATAGTCGTTTAATTTGTAATTTTACCGATTGTACCCTATTCCTGATTTTGACATAGAGACTGAGTATGGATTCGGATGGCGGTCATGCATGCATATGAGGAGACGCTTGCTATGTCGACGCACCGGTCTCTCTCTTTTTGGAGTTTACGCGATTCCATCAGTTTTTGCTTGGTACTTTGTCTTCCTAATCGATTTATAAAATTTGAACATCGTTAAACTACTGTTGACTATAGTCTCAAGTAAGGAGTATATCCTTTAAAAATAACAAATATTACACTGAGGGAATATTTATTGTATATTAACAATTAACCAAATACTATAAACCTTAACATTTGATCTATGCTAAAATGACAGTACAGAATGTCATCATGCATAGTATTTACAATCATTCGAAAGTCATCCCCGTTATAAGTCTAAGACAGTTTGACTGCGACAACCTTTTTGCATACCACAGTTGCATAGTAAGTATCATTATACCATGTCATTCATTAAGACAATTTAGATCAGTTATGTGCCGTCAGATATTTATTTAATATAAAGCAGGATACTCTTGTTTTTATCAGTGGTTCAATATTACATTAATCACCAAATTCAACCGTTTCCTTTCTGAAATTTAAAATCCTTATACAAAATTCACAAAAAATCAAAAAATCTTTTAAAAGAAATTTAATTGTAGTTCTACTGGGTAGTGGTCGGTTACATTCATCAACTGAAATGATAAAAGTATAAATATATAAATTGATCCATCATTCCGAAAATAACGATAAAACATGATTTTTAACAAAATACTTAGATGCATTGTAACACTTTTTGCTTTGCTTTTGAAGGATGTTTTCTAAAAATTAATTTTTTTCATAGCGTTTGTTCAATAAAAATAGATTTTTTTTATAGCTTTTGTTCAATAAAAATGGATTTTTTCACTTATCCTCAGTGTCAGTTACAGGTGCAAACGGCTGTATGCAGAGACTGACATATATGTTTTTTTTTAATTAGAAACAAATAATCCAAGGAATTTTTATTACTTTATACAAAAAATAACATTATTTTTTTACCTTTTCATCTGGAAGTTGCCATTTGTTATCGAATTTAAATACATTAGATGTACCAGGTATCACTGCCATTTGAAGTGTTATTCCAGATCCAACGATTCTGTATCAAAAACAAATATGTGTTATCACTCATTTGTTTTTAAGTCGAGAGGGACCAAAAACCACGATGATTAGAGAGCTTTTTTTCCGACAAAGTGACAAGTACATAAGACTTACTCTTAATTAAAAAAAGGGCGAGAAAAAAAAACCAAGTTGATAGCACAACACAATAAATGATTGAAGTTTGCATTGCAGTTCAAAAAAGGATGAGTGTAGGCACAATGATAACAATTGATCTATTTAGTATAACTTGACTGGATGGATTATACAGAATAACATTTAATGTGACAACCATCGATCAACAAGTTGGAAACCGGTAGAGATAATGGTTAAGTGTATGGTTTATCATTTAGTTTTTTATGGGTCTTGGATAAAAGCCCCTCACCCTATGACATCAGCCCTCCAAATTACTGTTCACACACAAATGATATGATATGGTAAAAATACTATCTGCTAACAGGTGGCATGTGTTGGTCAATACTTTCAGGTTGGTTTCAATTGAGAAGATGAAGAAGAGATCCACTTTGATATACCAGGAACGCTTCACCTCATTTTGTAATTGATTACTGTTCATGAGGAATCATGATGTTTTTTTCTGCGCGGACACCAACAGAAAGTAGACGTAGATACTCTTTACGAATGGATTAATGCTGATACAAATTAGATTAAAAATTGAATGTGTATATACATGCTGCATCGATCTTCGAAGACATAAATGTTGCTAAGCACATGTCTTACCTCCATGACAAAAGTGTTGTTGTCCCCACAGATAAAGACCCAAACACTTTGTGTGTGTGTGTAAATCACATAATGTAAACTGCTTGATAACGGAATTATGTATTTTCTTGGAAACTCAACATACACCCCACGAAACCTACCAAACAGGAAATCCTGAACAATCATAATTTTGTGCTATGTTCCTTTGGAATTTCAACCAAAGATGAAGAACTGGATCTTCTTTCACTTTATTGGATACCAAATCACACAAGTGTCCTTGAAATTCGAAGTGCATAAACATTTTAAGAAAATATAATTCTACTCCAGTGCTATACGGAATTTATTTTACAAATGAAAACGTCTTGCTTCACTCGTAGTGATAGATGATTGCTTTCTCTTTTTATCATATTGTTTGGTCAATTTGTTATTTTCATATTGTATGATGTTGCTCTTGTTGCACAAATTGTGTACCTGAGTGTACTAGTAATAAATGGTATACAGAAAAAACAATGTTACATTGCGAGGTCTTCGAAATGCTCCACAAAATCGCTTTCTAAACTATTAACATCAATTTTATCAGCCATTAAAGCCGGTCTTCGGAGTTCGTGGGAACTACTTACTCTTGGGGCGGCGCGTATCAGTTGTTGATACTTAAAATGTCAAAATCTGTTAGGGTAAATAAAATCTAAGTTTCTTTCCTCTTGCAATAGTCTAAAACATTTGACTTTTCTAGCCTTTTACCAAGTATTCCCGATTCCAAACTTAAAGACAAATTGAAAGAAGTGGTCTGACTTTGTTTTATAAAAACAAGAATGGCCGACGTAGATATAAATAACTTGTTTTAGGGAGGGACTAATCATATTTTTTAAAATATCACTATGATTCAAACAAAAAAATATCAAGCTTCATGACTTTTTTTTTATCAACAACATATTTCTTGCATTTGGAGGACGTGTTTTTCAACAAACAATCAACATCTCCATGGGAACCAACTGTGGTCCTCTTCTTGTCAACTTGTTCCTTTATTTATATGATGCTGACTTCATACAGGAGCTTCTTAGGAAGAAGGAAAAGAAGCTACCTCGAGTTCCGCAATAAAGATGATGTCCTCTCACTTGATAAGTTTGGTGACCATATTGGACTCATATATCCTATCGAACTTGAAATAATGAATACCACAGATACAGCTTAGTCTGCCTCAGATATTGACTTACCTCTAGAAATAGACGATGACAATTACTATTTGAAAATATAACTTTACGACAAAAGAGATGATTTCAAGTTTCCCAACTTCAAACTTTCTCTTTCTATGTAGCAAAATTCCACCAGTCTACATATGGGGTGTATATCTCCCAGTCGATACAATATTCTGGAGCTTGCATTTCCTATCAAGATTTCCTTGAAACAGGGTTGCTGCTAACAAGGAAGCTATCAAACCAAGAGTTTCAAGTGGTGAAATTAAATTCGTCCCTTCCAAAACATTACGGACGCCATCAAGAGTTGGTTGGCCGTTATGTGAAAATGTGAAAGTTTGAAATGAAAACACGGATTTTATGCAAGATGTAAGGTGAGATTATTACTGATGCAAACCACACATGTATTTGTGATATCCTTTATTTCAAGTTAATGGGATAGATGCGATCAACAAAATCCCATTTAAACTATTCAATACAGGGGCATCATCTATCTAACGGAACGTGAAGTTGAAGGATAAAACTGGCTTGTTTTCATACCTCTTGAGAAACTCCAGTATGTATAATGACTGCATGTGTTGGGAAAGTCAAATTTTTTGACGCTATTAAACGAGGATATGGACTTAATCGTACTGTAACAAAAGTTTTAAATTGAATAAATGGCATATAAAAGAATATCCAAAATCATGGACAAACGAAAAAGGAAAAAGACAAACAACAATCAACAATCATCAACCGAATAGAAATCTACATCACACGACAATTACAAGTCACAATCAAGATATTTATAATAAAAAAAAGTGAAAAAAAATATATGCAAAATAACATTATGTTTAGAGTGTTTATCAAATCTTAAACTGATATATAGTTTCTGATGCCAATCGTATCGAGAATGAATTTGTGTGAAGTTGTATAACCATAAAAAAAATCGATAAACTTTGTTTCGTATTTCATTTTTTTTATGTGTGATTACCGTTTGAACTAAATCGTAAAGGGATGACTGATTTCTAAAACTGTGTGTAAATCCACATCTGCGTGTTTAACCTTGCTCGAATTAGAAAATATTTATTGATTCATTGTCCCTTATGACATTCAGAATATTTTGTCTGACGAGGTTAATAAGTATTTACATCTAAATTCTTAAACAAAAATACAGTGAAAAAGATTTTCCTATCGATGCAATTCCGGTTACTGTCTTTCTCCTAGTTTTTTTTCGAAAAATGTTACATTGAGTTATGGTAATTTGACAACTTTTTAAAAACGAAGATGATAAATTAACTCATTTTCTTTTATTTGCAATTAACCAACTGCCCTAAACAAAACTTTAGCAACAATTATAACGCAAGTAGGGAGTGAATTTAGCATTAGTTTTCACAATTCATTCGAGAGTCATTACATCATAATCTAAAAGACAAGCTTTTCGAACATCAGACTGGCATAGTTATTCCGTTTTATAAAAACCATGTAGAAAACATCTGTGTACTATCAAAGATTATCAAAATGTGAACTCGACTGTAAAGTTTTTGGCATTGTCCACCGTTCAATATTCAATCTATTCAATCTATTTTCAATTCAATCATTTTTCTGCTGAAATAAAAATTCTTGCAGGTAATAACAAAGATAAAGTCACAATTATAAACGTTAAAAGAATGAAAAATGTCAAACAAGATCCAGAAAATTTCTGAAAATATAAATTTGTTATCACTGACACGCCTGGTAAACCATCAAATCTCAACCAAATGGTTAAGCGGGGAAAAGGTTTACTGGCACTTCCTGTTGAGCTTTTCTGGTACATAATATCAAACATATAGATAGGGTAGATTTGAATAGAAGTTCCTTCATAATATAAGTTCCAAATGGAAACAATATTCTGGAATATTATTTCCACTGGAATAAATATTACAGTAAATGTTCCTAACGGAATAAATGGTATAGAATATTTGTTCCAACAGGAACAGATATTATGCCATTGTTTATAACAAAGTTTCCAGTGGAACTTCTGTTAGGCGGAACAAATATACGTTGACAGTTCGACTTTTCATCAATTCATTGTCAATCTGTAAATATTTTGTTAAATAGGAGAATGCCATGCCAAAGATAACTAAATGAGAGCTTATCTAGTACATTACTAGGACCCAATGTAATTTAAAATGACATCGAAATGACTTTTCTACCGCAGGTTAGTGCGGCCAGCTCATTGAGTTTTTGACAAAATGACATTGAGTTATTCAATACGTAACGTATATATCAGTGTATAAGTGTTCTCCTGAATCAATACAAACGTATAATAACAGTGTTTTTTTTCTATTTCTTACGAATATAGTTTTATTAAGCTGAAAATGTTATAAAGCATGTCAGGTTGAGATTGTCTGGTATCGGTGGTGATATTCTAGAACAATGTTGAGATCTACTGTCGAATAAAGTTTTTAACTAGCTACGTATCAATCGGATACAACCGTCAAAATTCATGAACTTTCTGTATAGTGGTTGCAATTTTAACTTGTTTCTGGTTAATAAATTGATGAAAAGTCGACCTACCCTATCTATATTTTTGATATTTTGTACCAGAAAAGCTCAACAGGAAGTGCCAGTAAACTTTTTTTCTCGCTTAACCATTTGGTTGAGATTTGATGGTTTACCAGGCGTGACTGAGCTAGGTGGTTTTTTACAGAACTGATTTTGATTTATGTTCTTTACTATATCTTTTATTAGTACTTATCGATATGAGATTAAAAAGGGGATGTGTTGAATACTTAAACATTAGTTATATCCTGCCACATGTTTATATGCCTGTCCCAAGAGAGAAACAGTGTAAAATGGATGCCTTATGTTAATTATTTTAATTTTTAAAATTTGGTGTTTATTGATGATATTTGATAGTATATGTTCATAAAGTTTCTATATTAATGGCGATTAGGAGCTAGAAATAATGCACAGATACTTGTCCATTATTGAAATAACATTGACTGACCAATTTTTCTGCACCAGATTCACATTGCGACAATAAATATGCCTCTTCAGTGATACCCGAGACCAAGACATTTGAATATTCCCCTCCCCCAAAGAAAATAATGGACATAAAAACCAAAAAGGACAAAAAGTATAGAATAAACAGCTGCGCCATGAGCGCATGATACGCCCGTCGCTTTTTCAAAGAATAAAGTTCAATAACTTTTCAATCTCTATCAGGAATTTATAAAAAAAAATAATCGGAAATAGTTTCTGATATACGGCGCGTACCTTTTTTTTTACCAAAAAGCTCAATAAAAATTCAATAACTCAAAAATAAAATAAAGAATCATCACGAAAAAGTATACAGATCTTCAGATTAATATAACTAACAAGTGTGTGAAGTTTTATGCAATAATCATAAATAGTTTCTGAGACACGGCGCGACATGTGAAAACCCCCATTTTTTTACAAAATAACTCTAAAATAAAATTTTGAATCATCACCAAAAAGTATACAGCTCTTTAGATTAATATAACTAAGAAGTGTTTAAAGTTTTAAGCAATAATCATAAATCGTTTTTGAGATACGGCGCGACATGTGAAAAAACACACCCCTGTTTTAGTTACAAAGTCCCGTAACTCAACAAATTTTATTTAATCTTATTTTCACAAAAAGTATACAGATCGTTTGAACATCATACGAAACAACTATGTTAAGTTTCATGAAATTTGGATAAGTTGTTCTCAAGTTACGGTGCGACATGTTTAAGCCGGACAGACGGACAGACGGACGCCGGACATTTGTATAACATAATACGTCCCGTCAAAATTTTGACGGGCGTATAAAAAGCCAGGCAAGGAAGTCGTTTGAGTGATTTGTGACGAACTTTTACTATTAATACCCTTACCTGAACCCTAACCCTATATTTAACACTAATCCCAAGATCTACTATAATTCATATTCACATCGACTTCCAGATTTTACACACTAGGAAAGTATATTACATACCTGTCATATGCACAATCTGTAGTGCTGTTGGTTGTTGTATCGGCTTCCCATTGTATATACCAATGATAGTCAACTCGATCGTAATAAATGGGTTTTGACATCAGTTCCACTGGATTAGCGTATTCACAATCAGCATAGAAGTTACCCATTGTTAGTGCGTTCTAGAAGATACATGGTAAAGTAAGATTGACACTAGTTGATATAATATACTTGTAAGTGGATCACAAACTTCCCCCATTTCGGAGAACAAGAATTCATTCCCGGTGTCAGGATTCGTGTTGTTCAGTTTTGTGGATTGTTCTTAGTCTCTGCGTCCTTTTTATCTATCCTATGGTAGTGTCTGTATTTTATGTGTCTACTGTTTTAAATTCCCTTCCCCTGCTAAGAGACTGTTAATCCTCGTCAAAGAGACCAGGCTTATAATTTGGTACGTCAGATGCGCGTTTCGTCTACAGAAATCTTATCAGTTCAGCTCGAATCAAAACTTGGAAAACTTAATCAAATACGAAATTGAAGAGCATTGGAAACTAGAAATTCCAAAAATTGAGTCAAATACGAGTAAATCTATCTCTGTCTGTAAACTCGAATCTTGATATTTTGGTAAATTTTAAATATCTATCTGAAAAATTAAAAGGAAGAATACACAAAGCTCAAATTCTATCAAATGCATAATAAGTGCATCCGTGTATTTTTTTGCTCAAATATTTATAAACTTATTTCGGTTTCGGACGTATTTTGAGTGAAATATGCAAAAAAAAACTACTAAAAGGAAAATTAATATTCCTTTAAGATTTAACAATAACTGTTTTACCCTGTCATAACACCCGGTAACTCTCAGTTTGGAGTCCATGCGATTCTCTTAGATTCTGTTTTTACCTTGATTTAGAAAAATGGGGAGATGTGGTATGATTGCGATAACAACCCACCAGAGTCCAAACGGCGAGGATATAAACAACTATAGGTAACAGCATGGACTTCAAAAATGACCAAAACCCATACCGTGAAGTAAGTTACTAAATGATCCAGTATGACAAAATGTAAAAAAAATCAAACAATAAACGAAAAAACAAGTATGGTAAACGCAGACGACAACTAAAGACAACCATTTAATTTCAGGCTCCTGACTTTGGACAGGCACAAAAAGAATATGGTGCAGTAAAGCATGTGGGTGAGCTCTTGAATGTTCTTTATGGATTTGTGAAAAAAAATTTTAACATCGGTAAACTAATTTATACTGAAGATTAATCGATGAAATGTAAGAAATGCATTGGGGTATCCGTTTAGTAATTTGAGTGTTTTTTTAAGTTACATTGTGCGAGGTCTTGCAAATCATATAAGTCCATATAGTAAAAATAGACGAGTTCATTCCCGGTGTTCTTGCTGTTTGATTGACGTGTATGCGTATAACCAAGGATTTGTATAGTATACTATACAAATCCTTGGTATAACCACGTCTTTTTTTTATTATGTTGTATTGCCTTATACTTAATTTATTAGTTTTTAACAAAATGACTTATGTTCATAAAAATGATTAACGTACTACTTCCCCCCAAGTATTCATCATTTGATAATACACGTCGTGAAGGTGTCCCATTTCATGAACAGTGTCTCCTGGGTTAGCATGTAGTCCTATTGCAGCAAACTTCGTATCTGAAAGACAAGGAATCATTTTTTAACATGAAAGTTTGTGTAGCCTGTCTTTGTCGTAAAAGTTGCCTTGTAATAAAGATTACGGCTTTAGAAGTAAGTTTCGCCTATTTTCCAATAGTTTATGGAATTAAAGGGTTTGCGTATCCATCCGCATTAGTTTTTATCCAATGTTAAAGGATTGCGTGAATGACTTAAATAATAGTTTTCGCACTTGAATCCTCTTTATTGTTCCTTTAAAGCCATATCATATTTGACAATCGTTTCTTTAACTTGTTTTTTTTACAAAGGAAGGTCAGTATTAATTGCAGTAACTTCTCATCAAAATTTTAATCAATTAGTTGAGTCTACGTGGCTTCATTTGTACAAATTTCACAAAATGTCCAGAAGGGCAAAACATCTTTTGTTTTATCTTTTTCTTATACGCTTTCCAACTCATCTAAATCGGAGCACTTGTAGTCATGATCAATCAGTGTATGAAATTCATTTTTGTGTGACCCTCTTGTGTAACAAAAAAATGAAAACGAGTGTAACTCGCTGTTATTTTTGAAAATGTCATAGATGTAAACAAAGGATGCTATATGCAAAGGGTGATTATAGTAGTATGAACAAACAATATAACTGGTAAGACATACGTGATGAAGCTAGTCTGACTTCAAATAATGCAGTGTATGGGTCTCTTTCAAACCAGTCATGTAGACTATCATCGAATAGATGTTCATTTACAAGTTGAAGAGTCAACAACCTGTAAAACATCATAAAATTCGGGGATTCATGATTATGTTATTATTTAGAAAACCACGATACTCTTGGTTGATAGACGCATGTAAAAGGAGATCAAACCATTGATATTTTTTTCGTTACAATTGGTATTTTGAAGCATACACAAAACAGTAACCAAAAATTTAAGACGGCAAACGTAATACAGTTATCTAACTTGAATTTGCTATATATATTCTATATTTGTGGTCCAAATTGTAGACAGATAATTCATTCCAACTAGAGGCTGTAAAGAGCCTGTGTCGCTCACCTTGGTCAATGTGCATATTCAACAAAGGACACACTCCAACATTTTAGACAAGAATAGAATTCACGACAAAAATCTATGTTTTGTTGATCTTGTAAATTGCTGATTATTTAGTCTGTTTAGTTTCTCTTTATCTTCTTTAGATTTTGCTTACAACACAAACGAGGGTAAAAAAAAATCCTCATTTAAAGGCAATCACTCCTATAAGAGTGACAGTCTACTAATTATATCGGCAAAATTTGGGTTGTTAGTAGATCTTGCTTTGCTGATCATTTTTGTGATTTAAAGTGTATATCTATCTATTTTAATTTTTAAGGTATAAGGCAAAAACATAAAAAATTTGAAAAAAAAAATTCGTTTTGACGTATATAGACAATTGGTAGAGCTCAACATTCTGAACATTTTTGCTCAAGTAGATTTTCTTTATTTATAATGGTTTTCAAATTAATAGATACAAACTTGCATTTTACCTCTATGTTCTATTTTAGCCATGTCGGGCATCTTGGTTGGAAGGCGGGGTCATCGGACACATTTTTTAAACTAGATACCCCAATGATGATTGTGGCCAAGTTTGGTTAAATTTCGTCTAGCCCAAGTTTGGCTAAATTTGCTTCAATAGTTAGAGAGAAGATTTTTGAAAGTAAAAAACATGATGAACCTTTAAAGGGCAAAAACTCCTTAAGGGATCAATTGACAATTTTGATCATTTGACTTATTTGTAGATCTTACTTTACTGAACATTTTTACCATGTTTACTGTTTACAGTTTATCTTTATCTATAATAATATTCAAGATAATATCCAAAACTGCAAAATTTCCTTTAAATTATAAATTCAGGGGCAATAACCTAAAAATCAGTTATCCAATTTTGCTGAAAATTTCAGGGCAGGTAGATCTTGTCCTAATGAACACTTTAACTCACTGTCAGATTTGCTCAAATACCTTGGTTTTAGAGATATAAGCCAAAAACCACATTTACTCTTATGGTCTATTTTTAGCCATGGCGGCCTTGTTTTTTTAATGAAACATAATATAAAACACAAACTTTATACTAGATACCCTAGGGATCATTCAGCGTAAGTTAAGCTGACATTGCTTCTGTAGTTTCAGAGGAGAAGATTTTTTGAAGTTCATCATGATGAACAAATTGTGTAAAATTGCCTTTAAAGGTCAACAACTCCTTAATGGGACAATTGACAATTTTGGATATTTTGACTTATTTGTAGATCTTACCTTGCTGAACATTTTTACTGTTTACAGTTTATCTTTTTCTATGATAATTTTCAAGATAATAACCTAAAACTGCAAAATTTCATTAAAATTATCAATTTATGGGCAATAACCCAAAAATCGGTTGTCTGATTCGTCTGAAAATTTCAGGGCAGGAAGCTCTTGACCTAATGAACACTTTTACCCATGTCAGATTTGCTCTAAACGCTTTAGTTTTTGAGATATCAGCCAAAAGCTGTATTTTACCCCTATGTTCTATTTTTATCCATGGCGGCCATGTCTTTTGACAAAACAGAAAACAAAACACAAACTTTATACTAGATACCCTAATGTTCATTCAGCTTAAGTTGGTTGAAATTGGTTCAGTAGTTTCAGAGGAGAAGATCTTTGAAATGGTTTACACCGGACGGACGACGGACGACGACGGACGCCAAGTGATGGCAAAAGTTCACATTTCCTTTTAGGAAAGGTGAGCTAATAAAACCATGCAAATACAAAGGTAGAAATTGGTGAATATCAATCAGATCAATATTTATAAATTGCGGACAAATTGAATGTTATGTAAATAGGAAAAGAAATCATTTGCTACAATTATTCGGTAACTATGCATCATGAAAGTGGCAAAAAGCTGCATAACTACTACAGATGTTATATTTTGTCGCAAAGGCAATATTTTGCGAAAATAAACATCACAGAAACGACTAGTGCAGTCCACATGTGCAATTTAAGTATACGAAAACTTTGTTTTTGTTTACCAAACATGCCACAACATGCCAATGAAATGCAACAAACGTTTTATCACGAAAAACAATAATGTTTTAAATAAGCATAATTTGGAACCTGTATAATGTATCCATCATCTGGTATGATATCGAAACAAATCTCATCATTGATATATCAGGCTTATAATTGGCTTTGATCGTTCCTGATGAAGGTAAATCCAGAGAAGTGCTTAGTGTTATTTTTCATTTTTTAGTACTACGTTTCGTCTACTCATTAAGACTCATCAAAATACTAGGATGGCAAAATCAAAAGCCTACAAATATAAGTTTAACCCCGGGGCGGATCCAGCCATTTTCAAAGGGGGGGGTGTTCCCAACCCAGGATAAAGAGTGGGGTTTCCAACCATATATCCCCATTCAAATGCATTGATCGTCCAAAAAAAGGGGGTTCCAACCCCCCGGAACACCCCCCCCCCCCCCCCCACCAACCCCCTCCTTGGATCCGCCACTGTAACCCATCAACATCTAAGGACCATTGATTTATTCCATATTAGTAGTACTACATTCGTATGAATGTCGTTACAATCCTGATTAGAGTAATTTCTTTCTAGACAACATAAACTTTGTTTAATATACATGTATTATATATCTTATTAAATCCTTGTGATTCCTTCAAGCTCTGATAAAATCCGAACCTGTTTTCTGCTCTTTAGGCGGGTTGTTGTCTGTTTGACATTCCATTTCCATTCTCAACTTCATTCAAATTGTATATGACAAACTATTGTAATGTTTCTAATGACACTTAACTTTTGAATTGAAATGTAATTGGGTAAATCAGGCTGAAATACAAACAATTGCATTTATATAAGTTTAACCAGAGACAATTAACGCGATATGAATGTTATGCAATTGATCCTTTTTCATTTTGAAACTTTCGGATTTCAACGAATTGTAACAATTTTAAAAACAACACCATCCAGTAAACTCGAAAATGTATCCTATCAAAAGCGCTACCATTTCGTTTCTTTGATGATTGCAAACGCATACCTTTAGAGGTAAGAACAAATGTATGACATACTCGTGTAAACTACAAAGATTTTACTGACTTTGCTCTTTTACTAGTTAATATGACAATTACTGTGTTGTATATCAGATGACAGTATACAAATACTTTCCAACCATATAGTACGCCATATTATTTGTACATAATAGGTAGAATATTCAAACTGAAAATGTAATTATAATTGAATGCCGTACATGTAGATCTATAGCCGAGTTGATAAAGCGTTGACTGCTCACACATTTTAGTATGAAGCGCGAAAATTGTGCTCCGATCCGGCAACGCTTTAACGTTGAAGTAAAATTACGAAAAGAAGTGTTAAATCCTGAAAAACGGTTACTGAACACATACCTGTAGAAATAAGCATATTGTTCTTTAGACGAGGTTCTTCCGACAGGGGCGCTGACTATCATTCCATAACTTTCGGTTCTACAACAAAAGTTATTACATGTATTTACAAAAATCACGAAAGTTAATGCTATGATGAAACTAGAAATGATATGAGCAGTTTGAAAACAAAATGTGATAATTCACATGAAATATTCGCCCACCTGCAAATAAATGAGACAATGGGACCAATATAAATCATAAAGTTTGGACACGAGCAGAGACTGAAACAATAATGACTTTGCACGTAGTTACATAAATTGGTGTCGTTGTTGAAGGGGAGACAAGAAAAAAACTGAAAACCGTGGTATATCGTATTATTCAATTATAGACTTAAGCTACTAGTAGTATCATACAACCACTCTACATCTAGTTTTCTGCAGACTTTCCCCGTGAAATTCATTAACTTGTCTTTCAAATCTCAAGCAAACAACAATCAATCAATCAATCAATTAATCAATCAAGCAATCAATTCTTGTATGAAAGGAAGTACTTGTCCAGTACCTTGTGACCAATAGCATTCTTAGGTAAGGAAGAACAGACACTTTAAAAGAACTTAGTTGGAATGGCAGGATTGAACAATATTTTGACCTCTT